AGTTTTGGGATTCAAGATAAAAAACCCTGAGTCGAAAGTAAAGAGAAAAGCACTACATGCAGACGAAGAAGAAGATTTCAAGCAATCTCAGACTAACTCAACAMGTAGCTTTCATTTTCACTTAATGATGATGTCGAAACGTCAATTACTATTATCGTCCATTTTTGATGTTTCCCWCAATCGCTACTCATTCGTTGTGAAAAAAATATCTATATCATGTAAGTCTTGTTTAAAAGCAAATATAAAATTGCAATGATATATTCTGGGAAATGTTGGTTGTGATTTAACAATTGATTTCATATTACGTTTAAATAAACCATGTTTACTAAGATGTCAGTCTCTGTTATTTCATGCAACAAAAGCACTTTATAAAAAACTATTAAAGCTTCAAAGGGAAATGCCCAAAATGTCAKTACAGTTGTATATATCAAAATAATGCTAAAAAATGTGTTGATACRAAAATAGTATAATATAACCATTCAAAATAAATGTTATGCATCTATATCGGTCGGGCTTCTCGATATCTGGCCCTGTTTACATGTATATGGAATGAGGTTGATCCTATAATTGGGATCTTTCTTGCAGGCTAATCAACTTAGYGGCTATATATCCCTAGCAGTAGGATCTTCCTGTCTCCCAGATAGGAAGATCRTAGCACCAGGGATAGGGTTCACACCTCTTTTCTCATGTAAACTGAATGCATGGTTGATTCACCTGCAAGGAAGATCCTAGTTCTAGGATCATCCTTGGAATTCCCATGTAAAGGTACATGTAAATGGGGCCTAAAATCTGAGTCCAATTCTGCAGCCAAGGTCATCGCTTGAAGGCCAAGTCATACTTGTATTTAGATATTAACAGACAAAAAAAATTATTTTTTTTGTATTCAAATTCACAGCTCACAGCTCACAGCCCACAGTTTGTTAAATTGGTCTCAGACTTTATATACATGTATTACATGTATCCGACCAAAAATGACATTATTTTGAAATACAGTAGGTATAATTAATGTTGCATAACAGTACCTTGGAGTATCTGAGTATGCAGCCGGGTCCATTGGGTCCAGCTCATCCATACGATTACGCTTATTTTTAGTTTCTAAAAATTGAACATAGTAATTATTCAATCATTGCACCTATGAATGTTAGAATACTGGGGTAGGTGAGACAGTAGACCAGGCAGGAGTTCTGCATGGTGGTCGATTTTTTTGGRTGGGTGCAGGGATATAGGGGAAGGAGGACATTTTCTATGCAGATATTTAAAAAAACTTTGAGTTTAATATTACCATAGCATTATCGATGTCCTGCAATCCAACCTGCTTTAAAAAAATATACTTTTTTAAAAACGAGCAAARTATTGTACCTTTCTCATTGAGCTTTCTTTTTTCAGCCATTTCTTGTCGTTTTTGTGATCCCTATGATAACAAGATAAATATTACTAGAATCTTGATAACAATGATCAATGGTGACAGAGTTAGAAATGGTTAAGATATTGGTGATAATGATGGTGATGATGATAGTGATGATAACAATGGTGATGAAATCATTGTATGGTGGTGTTGATTTGGCAGTAGTGACGTTGCTACTGTAGCTGATACACTGTTCAGTAGTTATGAGGATAAGTGCGCAGTTGCAGTGATGAAGACTGCGATGATGTTACAAATCACTAATAACCTAACTAACTGTACTACTGTACGTCTAATAATTATATATATTTTATAAGTTGACAAGAAAATAAAAATTATGATAATGATGCTGATAATGATAGTGGTGATTATAATGATAATAACAAACAAGACACTGCATCAGACTTCTTTACCTTTACAAGACTTGGATGTTTCCCTACACTTAATGATTGCTCTTTTTCTTGTGTTGTATCACCAGCTGTCACTAATGGAGATGGGATTTCTCTGTTTGGCTCTATCTTATTATCTGCAAAGTAAAGTAGATGTATYGTACTCTGTTACTACAGAGCCTCGTACATGTACAGTGTAGTCACTCTGTAATGCATGTTAAACCTGAATGTCCTGCATTGTGGATGTCTGCCTTTTATCAGGAATCAAGGGAAGTGCAATCACCTCTCACCTCAAGGTTGATTATCTCAGACTCAGTATCAAACATAAGTAAACTGAAGTCTCTATCTTGCTTCAAATTTTATTTGGGGTTCTCTGGTTTTCTTTCGTCCACAAAACCTATCATACTAAATTCCTGGAATTTATCTGTGTGTTACAGTAGCTGTGCTTTGACTTTGATAAGGTGGTTTCAAGGCGTATTATTTTTAAAATTTAAACCAATGAATGTTTCCTTTAAGGTGGCTGCCTACTATAGAAAAATGAMGCTACTGTACTGCACACACTTCTATGCAACAATGATGACACCATTATTTGAGTACGCACAATAAGACCACTCAAAATCGCAATAAACCTTCATATTTTTATTGAGGAGCAAAACATGTTTTTGAATTTCCAAATAAGAGTACATAATAAAGAAACTTCTCACAAAGTTTGAWAAAAATGACATGGCTTTACTTATAGAATAAGTGGTACTATAAGTGTACATTTTTGGCACTYATTTTATCAAACATTGTCAAGCACCAAGATGAGAAAAAATTAAGTTGGTAAATTAATTAGGTTGGCTTTCTCTACTTTTTCTTTTCAAAAAGTTGTTGATAGGCTTATGTTTAATAGTGAATATCTCAAAAACGACCTAGAGATACTGCTATTCTCTTTCCAAAATTGAAATCAGCATTAAATTAGAGTTTAAACCTTGTGATTCAAAAACTTTTTCATGGATTTTTCAATAGTAGGCAGCCACCTTAAAGGGCTAAAAACTCTCTCATCATKTCATGCCAAGTCCAGGAGTGTGGGTGAAATGAGTGCACTACTGTGACCCTTGGTTACTTACACTATACTGTATTTTTAGCCATTAACTAACCTTTAGATTGTTGCTTGTTCAATACTGTTGCAGGGAGGGTTATTTCAGCACCTGGATCTATAAAACAAATTTATGTAGAAACAAAACTACATGTACATAACCGGAATGATGATGAAAGCATGTGAAAATGATGATGATGACAATTTAGGTTTCATCAAGTACATGTAAACCCTTACCAAGAGGATGTAGCCAAGAAACCTGATTAGTTGTTGTGTTCCAATAATAATGTTTTCCACTGCAATAGAGCAATATTTATATGTCATTATTCAAACACATGCCAAAAAAACATTTATGTAATAATTTCTGCAATATTCAAGGGGTTTGTATTGTGAACAAATACTTTTGTAAAAAWTTTTTTTTCAATAGCTTTTCCAGTGCCCATCCACGGTAAAAATCAATTTCAAACTCCAGCATTTTGGAGTTTAAGGAGTGACAAGAACTATGTCCTATTAGCCATTCTGAGGTTGAGGAAAAAACTGGGTTGAGTTAACATTACAGTGCATTGTGGTTATGTTCTAGGGAACAAATTGACACCATCTTRGAAATATGTCCCCTAAATTAAGAGTCTCATAATGCACTGCAATGCCAACTTGACCCAGTTTTTGCCTAATATACACAGTAGTTGCTACAGCTATATTGATGACCAAGCAAAATTGCCAAGAAACCATTATTTTAAGCCCTGTATGGTCACTATAAATAGATGATGGCTATTGTACTACTGTATTCACTTTACAATGTAAGTGTACACAACACTTACCTGCTGTGATCTGTAATGAAATACCAACCAGGAGGTAAAGGAACATGACAGTAGTCCTGTTGAATTAAAATAAGAAGAACCACTTGAACAAGGAAACATTGAATTCATCTTGAGCAAACACATAACTGCTAGTATTGCATAAAAGGTGCATTAATTTTACAATGAAGGAATGGCTAGTTTTAAGAGAGCTCTCAAGAATATACTGTAGTGCTAGCTCAATACTACACTTCCTACTATGTAATTTTTTAAAAATCTGTGTGTTCTAACATCAATAGTAGTGTAGCACACTGATGAAGATCAATGGACATGCTTCATAATATCGCAATATAATAGATACAGTATATAGTAAATTATTATGAAATATTTCAAAAAATAATACTGGCTGGCTACCATGTTTATATCAGAGGACAGAGATTACTTGAGGRAAAAAAAATTATGCAAGCAATATAAAATGACTGCATGCTTATATCTCTGTATTGTGACAAACATTTTGGGAGCTGTTGAGCACTCAAAAAGCAAAAGAAACTATCAGCTATGCCCAGTAATTTTCTTTGACTGGCTAAGTTTCTCAGTTACCTGTATAATGATTATAACAAGATCACCCACTAGATGTTGAATATCATCAATATCAAATAATGAAAGATACAGTATTTACCTTAATGTGTGGAGCTTGAGTAGGGTCTGAAGATCCCCATCTTCTATGACAGTATTCTRCACATTTATGATAAGGATTGGTTCTGTTTGGACAGCCTTTAACCTCTCCTGTGCTAGCTTCTGAGTTCTGTTCTTCATTCTTGGTATTATCATTATCTAAAAGGGACAGATCAATATTTAGAGAAGTGCCGTGGGATATGGGAGGAATGGTACGTACAATAAGGGGGTCACAGTTTTTGATGCAAAGAAATAAATTGAGAAATCAGGGTCTTTGGCTTCCAACAATCAGAAAATTTGAATAACCAGTAAYCTATTAAATATAGGCCGATCTTTGTTTATGTTTTTCCTCATTAGCATWAAAAAATTCAAGCTACAAGCAAACCGACTCCAGAAATCGAAAGAGAATGTCTTATTTAGTAACTACTGAAAATTTGAGAGTAATTTGTTCATTATTTTGGGAGTAATTTTTTTTGGAAACACTAAAAATTACAAAGAAAGGTATGGTCGTGTGGCAAGACTTGTGTAAGTCATACCGCTTTATGCTAATAAGGAAAAAACGTAAACAAAGATCGGCCTATTGAGAAGCCCCAAAGCCCCTTAGTGTTTCCTTATAGTGGGTATCCAATCTTCAGGGATATGGTATACAGTATATGGTATCGAAATCCCTGAAGCGTGGAACCAACCATAAGGAAACTCTTCGTGGAGATGAAATAACCAATCATCCATCAAAGCTCAAACTGATGATCAGACAAGCGGTATCATAATAGACACCCTTCAGTCTACACCATTGTCTGATGACTATAAGGCAGGTTGCCATCAAAACGTTGCAGTCCTTCTACAAATGACCCTTAATTGTGAGACATTACATGTATGAATAAGTATCGATTATTTATTAATAATTTTAACCCTGAAGATGACCATGTGGTTGTAATAATACACAATTTTTGGATAGATGAAACAAATTATTTATACGAATCTTACTACGACCTACAAACAATTTTTGATTTAGTCATACAATACATTTTGGCATGTTGTCCACTGGGACATACAGTACACTACCCTTTGACCATACATTTGACGTTTAGTTATACAACAAACACTCTTATTGACTAACCAGTTCTTGAGTTGCCTTTGATATCTTAGCCTCAATATATAMTACATAGAGTGCCAAAGATATAACCGTTTCTATTGTAAATAGTCTGTAACTGTTGAAGGTTGAGGTAAACTGTATACAGCTGTAGCATTTATTTTGAGCTTTTACGATGTTATGTGGTCATATTCTGCCTTACCTTTTGATACGATTCCTCTTTTCTTTAATCGAGCTTGTAAAGCAGAAGTAAGAGGCATGCTGACGGTAATAATTGAACTAATTAGTTGACATAAAATGTGAAAAATCTGCACCAAAACCTCCAATGTTTCGCTATATTTTTCGTGTTTTTCCCAGATTGAACTCTACAACTAGTGCTACCGTCACGAACATTATCGCATGCGTACACGCGGTTTACCGCTGGCCATACTTGACGCAGGTTCGTATGTTTATTATTATTTCTAATGTGTTGGAGTTTTTTCCTTTCATGAATACCCTTCAAAACTCACTGAAACTGCATACAGGAGTTCAAAAAAAGAGAAATGACACACACAGGTAAGTCGACAAACTTTTATTCACGTTTTTGCAAATAAAATGCGGCATATTCTAAATCCCCATAATTTATATTCTCTTATAAATGTAGGGAGCTTGGGTTGCCTGTGGTCCATTAATTAATAAAAAATTGGTTATGAGAAGTTTAAAAAAAATCAGACAAATAAAAGTTAGTATTTTTTAATGCACCAATCAAGCTTTTTTTCTCGGCATAAAACTACTACATTTTTGAGCTGAAAATGMTTTCAGCTCAAAAATGTAGTAGTAAATGTACAATTATTGTTGATAGCTTACCTATAAATAGCATATTTAGCTAAACAGTAACTGAATTTAAACATTAAATTTAGAATTCCATGCACTTGKTGCTTCAGCAATTTCTAATTCTATTTGCTAGCTAGTGAATTTTGACTGGACAGGTGTCTTTTCCTTGAATATTATGCTTCTCTTTGGGACCTTCCTAGACAAGCGTGACTGATCTTGAAAAATGGAGGCCTTGGTGATGGGAAAAGCTGACACCCATCCTTCTAAAGTTTATAGGGCGTTTGAGTCCAGTATCAACTGCACAAAATCATATTCGCCCCTGGCTGCTCTATTATTAAGCATATTATAAGAAATAAGATATTTACCTTATTAATATATAATATATGATAATTAATATAATATAATATAATATAATATATGATTATTTTTTTACTTAGGTGGCTAATTCAAAAGAGGATAAATGAGCTCCAAATGCAAAAGCACTTTTACATGTAAGTGCCTACAAAGAGATTTGGGTCAGTATTACCTCTTATGTGAGTCGTTTTTATTAAACTATTTCAGCTAATTGATGGCAAGGAATATACAACAGATTAGATAGCAGATCATACCCAATGAGGCTAACAATTGCTTATAAATGTGCATAATGTTAAAGGCTGTATAATATATGTATAGGTTACTTGACGCRAGATTGGCTTCAAACAGCAGGAAATTTCTTTAGCAATAATTGCACCTTCTAAAAACTTTCACAAATATAGCTTCAAAGGATTTTCGAAATAAATGCCTGATTAACAATAAATTCATTAAACAACTAAATAAGTAAATAAGTGAGATAACCRCATTATCTTAAGGATTTTTACTAAAGTCAGCTTTGGGGCTCTTGCGAACACCTGTGGTCAATTTCTGCTGTCCAGTACCAGTAGACATGGCTTGGAATACAGTCATGACACAATCAAGACTGCACTCTGGGTTGTCCTTGACTCTCAGGAGAGAAATAGCCACACCATATAAATAGCGAGCTGAAAGAAGAAACGCAAGATGATATTGGTTGTTGTGATATGAAGCAAAGGTTGGTATGGGGAAGGGGGAGGGGGAGGGGGAGGGG